GGAGAAATAGGAAGTGGGCTTAAGTGTCTTAAGGGTCTCACTTCTCTTAGGTTTTTTTCCCAGCGCTTTAGATATAGTCCCAGGACTCAGTTTCACCCCCTCCACCTCCCCACCAAATAGGGCAGGTAGATCAGAGAATTAACCTAGGAATGCCTTCTGGAGAAGGGGGAATTTTAAGATGAAGCTGAAGGCCCAAGTGGGGTACAGCCATGAGATCTATGCCCTCATCAGAGGTGTTGATGAAAATATTGAGCAACAGCATAATGCTAAGGACAGATCCCTGTGGCATTCCACTAGAGAGGTCCCTCCAAGTTGATATGCATAAATTAATGGATCAATGTCTTTGAATCTAGTCATCAAATCAATTCAGAAATTAGCCTCAATTGCAATACAATCTAGCTCTGTTTTTGCATCTTATCTACCAGCATATCATGAGACTTTTTCTAGTACAATCTGGCATTAGTCTGCTATTGTTGTTGAGTCATTTCAGTTATGTCTGGATCTTTGTAATACCATTTTTGGGGTTTTCTTGGCAAAGATATGGATTGGTTCGTCATTTCCTTCTCCAGCTCATTTTACAGTTGAGAAAATGAGGCAAACAGGGTTAGGTGATTTGCCCAGATTCATACAGCTAGTAAGTGTCTGAGGCTGGATTTTAACTCAGGAAGATGAAACTTGCTGACTCCAGGCCCAGCACTCTATCCACTGTGCCTCCTATTAGTCTGCCTACCAGTTTAATAACTCTATCAGAAAAGGACATAAGCTTAGTCTGGTATAATCTCTTCTTGAAAAAACATGCTGGTTCTTAGCGATTGTTGCTTCCTTTTCTGAAAACACACAAGTGACCCCTTTAATAACGTGTCCTTGAATTTTGCTAAGAAAGTCAAATGCACCAGTCTGTAATGTGAAGAATCTTTCTTTCTCCCCATTTCAAAAATTGGGACATCCACATGTTGATCCATTGTGCCAAGGGTTGGAAACAGGCCTAATTAGTGGAAAGGGGAAAAGGCAAGTTGTTCCAGTCCTGGGAGCAGGAGAAGAAGGACATTGTAGAAGATGAAAGTGGTGTTTAGATTAGCCTAGCTAGGACGAGGTGTGTGGATAAGCAAGAAGCTTGATATCACTGCTGAGAGAGCTAAGGTAGTCTTAGGATACATTAATAGAAGTATATGTTAGATAAGGAAGGGGGCAGGGAGTAAACATTTATATAGTACCTACTATGTGCTGGGCACTCATTTTACAAATATTATCTCATTTGATCCTCACAACCTTGCTAAGTAAGTGCTGTACTATTCCCATTTTACAGTTAAGGAAACAGGCAAACAGAGATTAGGTATATTGTCCAGGGTCACACAGCTAGTAAATAATCTGAGTCTTGTTTTGAACTCTGATCTTCCTGACTTCAGGCCTGGCACTCTATCCACTGTACCACCTAGCTGCCTTAACTACAGGGTAGTTGTGTTGAGGGACCAGGAAAACAGAAGCTGTTGCCAGCAGATCTAAAGGAAACATCCACCTTTTGAGGCTTGTTGCTAGCTATAGGTAGTGTCAGAAATATCTCGGGTCTCTAAGCTGGTGTCTCTAGACTAGCAATTGTGTCATGACTGCAAAACTGAGTGTGTTTGAAACTGGGAGAGCAAGAGGCCTGGCTGGGGCAAAGCAGTGCAGTTCTGGGGAGTCTGCTTACTCGGCTTTGCTCTGTCCCGTGATCTGTGTTCCTGGAGGGGTTCTATGTTTTGAGCTGTAGTGGAAGGTGTCCGAGGTCTCGGGCATAGAGTCATCATTAATAGGAAAAAATCAAGGGTGGCTATATTCTTGCTTAACAACACCTTCTGAACATTTTCCTTTTATTTTGAGTGGACTATAGGAGAGGTGGAGAGGCTCTGGCAGCTTATTGTCCAGGAGGAAGAAGATGACAGTCTTCTTGACCTCTTTGAAGGTCACACTACATCTGGTTGACTTCTGTTCCCACCTATTCCATGACCACTGATGCTCACAGCGACACAGACCTACTCATATGTACCCATAAGCACTTCACCACTCAGCACTAATGACACTTAGGCCTGAGCTCTTGTCTATTGGCTTCCCCTCAGCACTCTCTTTTCTCATATGAAAGCTACTGGGGACTAAAAATTTTTGCCACTTAGTTAACTCAGCACCTTTTAGGGCTGGAATCACCCAATGAGGATGGTCACTAGGACTCAAGTTCATTACACACCAGCAACCCAGGCAGGGGACCATCTAGCCCTGCCTCTGCCTAGCCCTACAACTCGCTCTCCTAAAAACCTAAAATTTATGGATAGACCACAGCCCCTGGAGTCAGGAGGACCTGAGTTCAAATCCGACCTCAGAACATAACACTCACTAGCTGTGTGACTCTGAGCAAGTCACTTAACCCCCATTGCCTCAAACAAACAAACAAACAAACAAACAAAAAACCTAAAATTTATTCAGTCACTCTAAATACAGAATCAACTCCAGTTCCGAGGGTCTGTAACTAGACATTCTTCCTGCCTTGCACTCATTCCCTCATATTCTACTCCCAAGAATCAGCTCCTATGGTTTGCACATGAATGCCTTTCCTTTCTCACTCTCACTAGTGTTCTACTCCCACATCAACCTCACTCAATAACTGCCCCATACTCATTCTTTCTTATACATCCCCATTCTGTTTCCCTAATTCAGTAATCACTCACAAATATATTCAGGATGCTGATCTCACCTTTTTTTGTCGTTTAGTTGTGCCTGACTCTTGGTGACCCCATTTGGGGTTTTCTTGGCAAAGATACTGGAGTGGTTTGCCATTTCCTTCTCCAGTTCATTTTATAGATGAGGAAACTGAGGCAAACAGGGTTAAGTGACTTGCCCAGGGTCACACAGCTAGTAAGTGTCTGAGGCCAGATTTGAACTCAGGTTTCCCTGATACCAGGCCCAGTACTCTATCCACTGAGCCACCCAGCTGCCTGCTTCTAGGGAATTAATTAGGGAAGAATAAAAGGACAGCATTGCTACTGTGAGGGCCTAGTTGAAATTGAATGTCATCGTGAACGAATATGTACTTCCATACATATGAATGAATGGATGGGGATTCCAGGCGCTTTAGAACATGGAGTACCAGAATGTCATTTGAAAAGAATTTCCAGACATAGAATGTAGACTGCTCAAGAAAGAATAAATTTAAAGCTCTTCTAATCCAACTCACTCATTTGGCAAAGACAATGTTAAACCAAGAGAAAGGGAGTGACTTGCCCAAGTTTAAATGTCATAAGTAGAAAAATAGAAACTAGAACCCAGGGCTCCCAGAGCATGTGTTTTGGATGAATTAACATCCAGCTGCAGGTTCTAGGAGAAGTTGATGGGGGAGGAAAGAACAATTTACAGGGAGGTCATCATGAATTAAGGCAGAATAGGACATTGGCCATGGTGACTGAAAAGGAGAGGGTGATGGTAGCTGAGCTTGTCCCAGGATGAGAAGATCCCTGTTCACTGGCTCTTTCACTTGCCAGCTATGTAACCTTGGGCAAGTCATGACCCCTCTGAATCTCAATTTCTCCATCTATAAAATAGGTCTTATAATTTCTGTCCCCTCTCCCTCATAATGCTATAGAAATGTTAGCTATCATTATTCAGAGTTCCTCATTAGACCTGTCACCCTCCTCTGAGCCTTGGATTCCCCACCACCTTCACTCATAGCCAGGTCCTCCAAATAAGAGTCAATCTTCAACTCAGTGCTAAGCTACCAGTAGACAGTAATTATTTATCTCCTTCCCCCTTCCAGGTAAAATATATACATTTTAATGGTAACCTTCTAGAGACAGACAGTGTCTTATCCCCCAATGGGGACTTGGGCATGTTTGTTGTTATTTGTTGTTCAGTCATTTTCAGTTGTGTCCTACTCTCTGTAACCCCATTTGGGGTTTTCCTGGCAAATATTCTGGAGTGGTTTGCTATTTCCTTCTCCAGCTCATTTTACAGATAAGGAAACTGAGGCAAACAGGGTGAAGTGACTTGACGAGGGTCGCACAGCTAGTAAGTGTCTGAGACCAGATTTGAACCCAGGAAGATGAGTTTTCCTGACTCTAAGCCTAGTGCCCTATCTACTGTGCCACCTAGCTGCCCTGGGCATGTTTGCCCAAGTGGAATTGATGGCAGAATTTTAGGAACCCTTATGGGGGGAGACATTAAAGGAGTCATACTAGCACTCCTCAGATGATTCCATGTGGATGAATCCTTGAATGCCAGGCCCTGGAGCTTATAAGTTTGACTAGTTCCTGCCCTGCCATGGTCTACAGGAGTGCCTTTAGGTGAATGGCTTCCCCTCTCTGGGCCATACCATTGAAATCTTTACAATGAAGGGACTGGACCAGATGGCTTCTAAGATCTCTTCCGGATTTTCCATATTGTGTTTTATGTGCCAAGTTGGCTCCCATCTCTGACACTGTATTTCTGAGATCCCTTCCATCTCTGACATTCTGTGTTCTAAGGTTCCCTCCCAGCTCTAACATTCTATGTTCTAAAGTCCTTTCCAGCACTTACATCCTATGTTCTATGTTCTAAGGTCCCTCTCAGCTCTGACACCATCTTTTCTATCTGTTCCAAGGCTCACAGTTCTAACACTTGAAATTCTAAGCTTCTCTCAGCTGAGGTCCCTTCTAGCTCCAACATACTACATTCTACATGGTTCTGAGGTCTTCCCACTCACACTCCGTATTCTCTGGTAGAAGGCTTCTTTCAGCTCTGACATTGTACATCCCAAGGTCATTCTCAATGCTACCATCCGTGTCCTAAGGCCCCTGCTAGCTCTGATGTTCTAATGCTCCATTATTCTTGTAGTCTTCTTAGGTTTTCTTCCATCATAATTTTGAACACAATTTCAAGGTCCTACTGTGGTCGCAGGCCAATTCTTCCCAACCCAAACTGAGAAATATGCATGTCTCTCCTGCCCTGTACGGGGCTCTGTGAGGTACCAGCCTTCTGAGTCAGCTCTCTCCCCTCAATAGAGTGCCCACGTGAGCTGTTATCGCCTCCACTGTCCCCCGGTGCACTGTCCTCAGCCCGTGACGGAGCCTCAGCAATGCTGCCCCCGGTGTGTTGGTAAGTAGTTTCAGCCTCCTGCTCAACTCTATGTTTCTCCTTCCCTGCTGGCTGTAGGCTTTCCCTCTCCTAAATCCACCGGCCTTCCTTCCTCCCTTCCTTCCCTCTAACTCTATGCCTCCCCAGCCTCTCATTCACCTCCTCTCCTCTAATCCCATGCTTTTTACCCTAGTCTATGCCTTTCCCTTTCTCTATTCTGGTTTCCTCTTCTCTCAGCTCTATAGTCTCCTCTCCCACATTCCTGCAATCTCATCTTTCTCCTAACTTCACTTCTCCCCTCCCCTTCCCCACTGTGTCTCTTTGCTCCTAATTCCCAAACTCCCCTTTCTTCCTCTAATCGACTTCCCCATGTGACCCCAGAGGGCAGAACTGAGCACAACGGGGCTGGGAGGAGCAGTTTCTGGGAGGGCAATTTCAATCTACCATAAGGAAAAATTTCCTGACAATCACAGGTATCCAACAATGGAATGGTCTCCTTCAACAAGAAGGGCTGTCATAAAAAATATCAAAACAGAGACTGGATGACTCTCTGCTTGGAGGGCTAAAGAGGGGCTTCCTATGATAGGGGAACATGTATATTTATTTTCTCAAGGTCCTTCTAGACATAGATTTTAATAGAGATGGGGGAAGGGTGGGTCGGAGAGGAGGAAACACCAAAATCTGGCTCGTAGATTCATTTAATTCCCTGTCCCAGTATTATATAGTTGCAGATGTAACTTAAGAGCAATTCTTATGAAAAAGATCTGGAGTGATGTAGTGGACCACAAGCCCAATCTGAGTCAATAACACGATGTGGCAGCCCCCCAAAACTAATACACTCTTTGGCTCTATCAATTAAGTTACAGCATTCAGAACAGAGAGTAGTGGTCTTGCTCTTTGGTGCCATGGTCAGACCACATCTAAAGTTCATTTCTAGACCCATTGTAGGAAGGACATTGATAATATAGAGAGCATGCCCAGAGGGGATCAAATATGATGATGAGGAGACTGGACACCAGGTCATAAGAAGGTTGATTGGGGACCTGGGAATGTTTAGCCACTAGAAAAAAAGATTGGTGATATGAGAGATATTTTCAAGTATTTGAAGAGCATAGGAAGAAGGAAGAGAAATGTACACGTGGCCTCAGACTTCAGCAGCCTCGGGGTGGCTACTTTTTGTAGCAGTTGTGTGTTATCACAAAAAGGGTGATGGGCTTGTACCCTGGACAAACTTGGGTCCAAGTTATGGCTCTGGCATAGCCAAGTCATGTAACCCCGCCAAACCTCAGTTTCCTTATCTGTAAAGTAGGGGGGGTGATAATGTATACAATACCTCCCTCTTGATACTGTCATGAGAAAAGCATTTTGTAAATGTTAACATGATATAGAAATGTGAGCCACTGATACAGTAGAAAGGGAGCTGGGTCAGGGAAACTGAGTTTAAATCCTGACCCTACTGCCTGTAGACCTTGGAAAAGTCATTTGACCCATCTGTGTCTTAGTCTATCATCTGTTAAATAAGGGGTGGAACCTGGTGATCTCTAAGGTCTCCCACAGCTCTAAATCTGTGACCCTCTGTCAGGCCTAGACACAAGAGTAAAATAAACACTGATTTCCTTTTTCAGACCATCAGGCAGGAATACAACCTCCCCGGGCGGGGCTTCTGCAGGCTACCTAGGTTGAGGAATAAGAAAGTACAGGTTTGTGGGCTCCCTTTCCCATCAAGGTCACCTAGAAAGCTTTAGGAAGGATCTAATTGAGCTCCCACTCCCTGAAAGACGGGACCTTGGAACATGGAATGTCCCATCTTCTTTCCTCAGGTCAGTGCTCCAATTTTTCAAACCTATTACATTCAACAAACATTTATTAAGTGCTTGCTGTGTGAAGAACACTTTGCTTGGTCCTAAAGGTGATAGAAGGTTTAGGTAAAACATTGTTCCCATCCTCATAGAGATTTTCATCTATTACTGGTAGATAAAATATATACATAGACGTCAGTGTCATGGGGGGAAGGGTTCATTTCTGGAAGGTAGTAAGTGCAGCCAGATTGGCTCTGAAGTCAAGAAAGGTGGGACAGGGAAGGGCCAGTCCTGGTGAATTTAGGCCTCCTGTAAAATATGGGACCACAGACGCTTGTTGGAACACTGGGAAGGAAGGAGATGCTTGCCAGCAAAAGTATGGGCTCTCTGGGATGACTGGTTAATGTCTCAAATTGGAGGAATCTTCATTTTTCTTCTCTTTCCCTTCTTTTCTGTAATCTTTCTGAAGAACCTCACACACCATCAGGGCTCCGGGCCCCCCTGAAGTCATGCCAATACAATGGGACCACCTACCAGCAAGGGGATACATTCACCACCCAAGAGCTCTTTCCCTCCCGTCAGACCAACCAGTGTGTCTTTTGCAGCTGCTCAGTAAGTTTTACTTTGATCTCTTCCCATCAATCAGGAAACATTTATGAAGTGCTGACTATGTATTAAGTACAGTGCTTAGCACTGGTGAGACAGAAAGAGACAAAAGACAGTCCCTGCCCTCAAGGAGTTTATAGTATGGTGAAGGGTAGGGGAGAGACAACAATATTCCAGCACGGGAGGTGGGGGGTGGGATAGAGGGGATGGGATTCACCAGGGGTGAAGTAAAAGGAAGGGGATACTGAAGCCAGAGGAGAGGGGCAACTAGGTGGTAGTACCCCTGAGTTTCAATCTGGCCTCAGATATTTACTAGCTGTGTGTGACCCTGGGCAAGTCACTTAATTTCTTTCAGCCTCAGTTTCCTCATTTGTAAAATGGAACTGATAATAGTACTTCTCTCCCAGGGTTGTTGTGAGAAGCAAATAAGGTAACCAATGCACAGCACTTTGAAGACCTTAAAGCACTATATAAATGCTAGTTATTATTATTCACTGGGAAAGTAGAATGGTATATTTTTTTTCTTTTTTCCCCACTTAATAGTATTTTATTTTTTCCAATTACTTGTAAAGATAGTTTTCAACATTCATTTTTAATAAGATTTTGAGGTCCAAATTTTTCTCCTTCCCTCCTTCCCTTCTCTCTTCCCCAAGACGGTAAGCAATCTGATATAGGTTATACATGTACAATCATGTTAAACATTTCTACATTAGTCATGTGAAAAAAGAATCAGAACAAAAGGGGAAAACCATGAGAAAGAAAAAAAGAAAAAACACACACAAAAAAGTTAAAATAGTAAGCTTCAATCTGCATTCAGACTCCATAGTTCTTTCTCTGGATGTGAATAGTATTTTCCATCATGAGGCTTTTGGAATTGTCTTGAATCTTTGCATTGCTGAGAAGAGCTAAGACTATCATACTTGATCATTGTACAATGTTGCTATTACTGTGTACAATGTTCTCTTAGTTCTGTTCACTTCTCTCAGCATCAGCTCATGTAAGTCTTTCCAGGTTTTTCTGAAGTCTACTTGCTTGTCATTTCTTATAGCACAATAGTATTCCATTATATTCGTATATCACAACTTGTTCAGTCATTCCCCAATTGATGGGCATCCCCTCAATTTCCAATTCTTTGCCACCACAGAAAGAGCTGCTATAAATATTTTTGTACATATGCTCCTTTCCCCTTTTTTATGCTCTGTTTGGGATACAGACCTAGTGGTGGTATTGCTGGATCTAAGGGTATGTACAGTTTTATAGCCCTTTGGGCATAGATCCAAATTGCTCTCCAGAATGATCAGATAAGTTCACAACCAGCAATGCCATAGTGTTCCAATTTTCCCACATCTTTTCCAACATTGATCATTTTCTTTTTCTATCATATTAGCCAATCTGATAGGTGTGAGGTGGTATCTCAGAGTTGTTTTAATTTACGTTTCTCTAATCAATAGTGATTTAGAGCACTTTTTCATATCACTATAGATAGCTTTAATTTTTTCATCTGAAAACTGTCTGTTCATATCCTTTGACCATTTATCAAGTGGGAAATGACTTGTATTCTGATAAATTTTACTCAGTTCTCTATATATTTGAAAAATGAGGTTATTATTAGAAACACTGGCTATAAAAATTATTTCCCAGCTTTCTGCTTTCCTTCTAATCTTGGTTGCATTGGTTTTATTTGTGCAAAAACTTTTTAATTTAATGTAATCAAAATTATCCATTTTGCATTTCACAATGTTCTCTATCTCTTGTTTAGTCATAAAGTCTTCCCTTCTTCATAGATCCGACAGGTAAACTATTCCTTGCACTTCTAATTTGCTTATGGTATCACCCTTTATGTCTAAATCATGTACTTTTTTTGATCTTGTCTTGGTATATGGTGTGAAAGGCTGGTCTATGCCTAGTTTCTGCTATACTATTTTCCAGTTTTCCCAGCAGTTTTGTCAAATTGTGAGTTCTTATCCCAGAAGCTGGGGTCTTTGGCTTTATCAAACAGTAGAGTACTATAGTCATTGACTACTGTGTCTTGTGTACCTAACTTATTCCACTGATCCACCACTCTATTTCTTAGCCAGTACCAAATAGTTGTGATGATTGCCATTTTATAATTTTATAATTTTAGATCCGGTACGACTAGGTCACCTTCCTTTGCATTTTTTTTTCTTTAATTCTCTTGATATTCTTGACCTTTTGTTCTTCTAGATGAATCTTGTTATTATTTTTTCTAGCTCTATAAAATAACTTTTTGGTAGTTTGATTGGTATGGCACTGAATAAGTAAATTAATTTAGGGAGAATTTTCATTTTTATTATATTAGTTTGACCTACCCATGAGCAATTGATATTTTTCTAATTGTTTAGATCTGACTTTATTTGTGTGAAAAGTTTTTTGTAATTGTGTTCATATAGCTCCTGGGTTTAACTTGGCAGCTAGACTCCCAAATATTTTATATTGTCTACAGTTATTTTAAATGGGCTTTCTCTTTTATCTCTTGCTGCCGGGCTTTGTTCGTAATATATAGAAATGATGATTTATGTGGGTTTATTTTATGTCCTGCAATTTTGCTAAAGTTGTTCATTGTTTCAAATAGCTTTTCAGTTGACTCTCTAGGATTCTTTAAGTATACCATCATATCATCTGCAAAGAGTGATAGTTTTGTTTCCTCATTGCCTATTCTATTTCCTTCCATTTCTTTTTCTTCTCTTATTGCTAAAGCTAACATTTTTAGTACAGTATTGATAACAGTGGTGATAATGGGCATCCTTGTTTCACCCCTGGTTTTATTGGGCAAGCTTCTAGCTTATCCCCATTACATGTAATGCTTGCTGATGTTTTTAGATAGGTACTACTTATTGTTTTAAGGACAACTCCATTTATTTCTATGCTCTCTACTGTTTTTAATAGGAATGGATGTTGTATTTTGTCAAAAGCTTTTTATGCATCTATTGAGATAATTTTATGATTTTGGCTAATTTTGTTATTAAGATGGTCATGTATGCTGATAGTTTTACTAATAGTGAACCAGCCCTGCATTCCTGGTATAAGTCCCACCTGGTCATAGTGTATTATCCTCAGGATAAATTGCTATAATCGCTTTGCTAATATTTTATCTAAAATTTTTGCATCAATATTCATTAGGGAAATTGGTGTATAATTTTCTTTCTCTATTTTGGCTCTTCCTGGTTTAGGCATCAGCACCATACTTGTGTAATAAAAGGAATTTGCTAGGGCTCCTTCTTTGCCTATTTTCCCAAATAGTTTATATAGTATTGGAATTAATTGCTCTTTAAATGTTTGGTAGAATTCACTTGTAAATTCATCTGGCCCTGGAGATTTTTTCTTAGATAGTTAATTGATGGCTTGTTCAATTTCTTTTTCTAAAATGGGGTTATTTAAGTATTTTATTTCCTCTTCTGTAAATCTGGGCAGCTTATATTTTTGTAAATATTCATCCATTTCATTTAGATTGTCAGATTTATTGACATAGTTGGGCAAAATAGCTCCTAATTACTGCTTTAATTTCTTCTTCATTGGTGGTGAATTTACCGTTTTAATTTTTGATACTTGTAATTTGGTTTTCTTCCTTTTTTTAAATTAAATTAACCAAAGATTTGTCTATTTTATTAGTTTTTTCATAAAACTAGTTCTTAGTTTTATTTATTAGTTCAATAATTTTCTTCTTTTCAATTTTATTAATCTCTCCTTTGATTTTCAGAATTTCTAATTTGGTATTTAATTGGGGATTTTAAATTTGTTCTTTTTCTAGTTTTTTTGGTCACAAGCCCAATTCATTGATCTCCTCTTTCTCTATTTTATTCATGTTTGAATTTAGAGTTATAAAATTTCCCCTAAAAACTGCCTTAGCTGCATCCCATAAGTTTTGGTATGTCGTCTCATTATTGTCATTATCTTGGATGAAGTTATGGATTGTTTTTATGATTTTCTGTTCAACCCACTCATTCCTTAGAATTAGATTATTTGGTTTCCAATTAGTTTTTAGTCTATCATGGGCCTTTGTTACATGGAATTAGTTTTTAGTCTATCATGGGCCTTTGTTACATGGAATTTTTGTTGCATCGTGATCTGAAAAGGATGCATTTAATATTTCTGCCTTTCTCCATTGGATTGTGAGATTTTTATGCCCTAATGCATAGTCAATTTTTGTGTAGGTACCATGTACCTCTGAGAAAAATGCATATTCCTTTCTATCCCCATTCAAATTTCTATCGAAGTCTATCACCTCCTAAATTCTATTCACCTCCTTAACTTCTTTCTTATTTACTTTGTGGTTAGATTTATCTAGTTCTGAGAGGGGGAGGTTGAGTTCCCCTACTAGTATAGTTTTGCTGTCTATTTCCTCCTATAACTCACTTAACTTCTCTAAATATTTGGGTGCTATACCACTTGGTGCATATATGTTTAGTATTGATATTACTTCATTGCCTCCCTTCCATAACCCCCCCTTCCGTTTTCTTTCCCCTTTTCTTCTTCTACTTCCCTGTAGGGTAAGATAAATTTCTATACCCAACTGAGTGTATATGTTATTCTCTCTTTGAGCCAAAACTGATGAAAGTAAGGTTCAAACAATGATCACCCCTCCCTTCTTTCCCTCTATTGTAATAGATCTTTTGTGCTTCTTCGTGTGATGTAATTTTCCCTATTCTTTCTCCCCTTCCCTCTTCTCCCAGTACAATCCTTTATTTTACCCCTTAATTTTTTTTAAATCATCACATCAAAGTTAACTTATACCCACACCCTCTGTCTATGTATACTGCTTCTAACTGCCCTAATTGAGATATGGTTCTCAAGAGTTGCAAGTGTCATCTTCCCATGAAGGAATGTAAACAGTTTCACCTTATTGAATAACATGTTTCTATTTTTCTTTCCTGTTTACCTTTTTATGCTTCTCTTGGGTCTTGTATTTGAAGATCAACTATTCAGCTCTGGTCTTTTCACCAGGAAAGTTTGAAAGTCCCCTATTTCATTGAAAATCCATCTTTCCC